CTATTCCGTAGCACCTCCATTTTATCACCTCTACGAAGTGTTTTCCCGGGAGGCTAAATAAGGTGACGCAACGATAACTGGAGCGCTACCCATGGTATCTCTTCTTCTTGAACATGGGTATTACCACATCCGCTCTTCAGCCCAATAATGTCTTACCCGCAGTTTTTGCAGCCTAACATATTCTTCTAACAGTATAAACATCTCAAGGCAGATTTCACCGATTTTAACCGACTTACAACTTTTGAAGCCATTTTCATCTTTCGCGCAATCATCTACCAAAAGAATAATATCCGTTCTATAAGGTTAGTTAGACGAATCTCTGTGCATTTGTTCATGGCTAAGAAGTTCCTCAAGACACCCTCTCGATCGTTGGAGCATATCATTATCAATGATAAGAGGACATCGAGACTTGTTCCTCAAGATTCTTAGGCTGCTTTTCTTTCCATCCCTTAGTCGACTGCTGGTCTGTTTGTTCGAAATCGTCGGAGAAAGGTTCCTACTTTGAAACTGATAGTTATGGCAAAATTTTCTTTTTGTGCTCATGCAGTAACGTCAGGGATTAAATCAAGTAACTGATACATATTACCACCTGTAATTATATGAACTCCGATACCTGATCATGTGATTGAGCACTGACTTGCAACCACCCGCAGTCACCACGATGGAATCGTACAATAAAATGAAAATCAACGAAATTCACAGTTTGACAAAGGCATCTTACTTCAGCCTCCAAGAGCTACCCATTGGTATGTAGCACGACGGGTTGAATCACATAGTTCATGCTGCTGACCATTGTCCAGTAATACCCCGTGACCGTAGGACCGAGCGCTGACACAAACTAGCGGCTTGCGCGCTTACTCTGTTGCACCGAGATATTTGTACACATAATATGTTCAATGGCTTTAAGCGGGACTGGGAGCGCTTCGATTAGAAGGTAGTATTCAGGAAAAGTAGGATTTGAGATCTTTGTCACGAGGACGCCTCTGTTATTTCGCCTGGGATGAGGAATATTCCTAATTTTCAGCATTTGGTCATGAATAATTGTAAACGGCTTAATTAATATTTTTGCATAACATTTGAACACCGACTACCTGATGAGATATAAATGGAGGAAGGACTCACTAACCTGATATTCGTGAAATGCTAGATGTGTTCATTATGTTTCTCTTGGAATGCAGAGAGGATTTTAATCACAACAGATATGTGGTAAGAAGCTGCAACATCGCACAAGTTCAAGATTCAGAACGTCTTGTCAGATGATTATCTGATAAGGCGAGTCTCACATCCCTATAGCTTTTTAATACAGTTCCATAATCGTTTTGTGGCCACAGGTGTGGCGAAAAATGGGACCATTTAGAATCATGAATCCGCAGTTCAGCCTTTATGAGGGCCGTGGTCACTCTTACTTGAGTAAAATCATTAGTTTGATGAGCTTTTTCCTTATCGCGTTGAGGTCTGTTTAAAGGTGTGTGGCCAGACCGCAGTTGGTTTTCCGAAATATTTACAGCAAACAACAGCAACTGACGAAAAATTTCACATATGAAGAGATGGCATCAACCTCAGCAGTGAAATCTTCAGATAGAAGTTGTCTCAAAAATGTGGACAGCTTGTTCCAACCTCTCCCTCTGTCAGCACAACGGCTGCTGGAAAGTTCTATGCATCAGCCTGCAACTTCCTGGAAGGCGTCCATTTAGGCTGTAGAAAACACGGATGAGACAGTGATCATCATTTGTGAAGGGCGCGTGCTTGGTTGCAAAGAAAGTAGACTCCAACTGATAAAACGTGATCGAACCTACAATTCACGGCCGATGAAAAGCTGTCCATATCTTTCAGTCCCAAGGATGTCAGAAGCCCTAACGTCATGTCCCCTGTGATATATTTTGCACAGGAATGAATAAACGGCTCGTTTATTTAGTTGGATGCGATATATTGCATATATTGCAAACGAGTATGGACTTTTGCAATAGCTAAATCTAGGCCGGCATCTAACCAAAAGAATAATTAGTTCTGTTAG